GAGCAAAGAGGTCTAGAAAATTATGGGCTTTCGACCTGCCAAGTTTTTTCCTTCTCTATTCGCCCCTGGACAGCCTTCTCTCTTCATACATGAAGCTAACTACTGACTCAACAAAACCGGGTTGTTTTGATTATTTTCACTAAGTTATTGGACCACTCACAGATATCGTACTTAATTCATTAAACTCGATCAGATATGAGACGTAGGCGTGATCGCTGCGAGAAGTATTTTATTTGTCTGGAGTCTCTGATTACAGCTCGAAACCATATTTGGAGACAGCATCCGACACGGGCAATTCGTACATAGGCAATAGCAATAGTTATAGGATGCATTCGCTACGGTACTGCATACAAATGAAAATAAACGGCTTCCCCTTAATCGAGGATGGTTGCTCTCTGATGCGCTAATTGCTTGATGGTGAGCATGCGGATCACTATCCGCCGAAATTTCATCACCCATTTTGGAGGTTGGCATGATCGCTCGGCCACCTGGCTCGTGGGCAATAACGCTGGAAAACTTGTTCGCCTATACCCTACCCAAGTGACTGATTACTTGAGTTAACCTAATTCTCAACACGGAATGTGGGTGGGGGAGATCACTGCACTGAGAGCCCGTAAGCCATGACTCAAGAAATTCGCAGTTCACACGAGTATCACTTCTCGCGAGAAGTTCGGCCTTATCGAACTTCAATACCTGGCCGGGTCTTGTCGATTGAGCTGCAAATTAAAAATTGGCGCCATCTCTTTGCGTTGCCGCCACGAGTTCCGCAATTTGAGTCTAGAACAGTCTTCCCGTTTCGCCAAGCAGTTACTGTGCCCGCAACCGCACCAGGTCCGATAAGCGATTTCAGATGTTTCTTGCTGTGACAACGGAAACTTTGGCTTCATTATCTGACGCCTGGAAATTGCCTCCAGCCTGTGTGCGACTCCAACTGCAAGTGGTGAGAGAAGGCGGTTGATATTATGCGTTACGATTTTGACGTACGGAGCGGTTCGTTAAAATTTTGGGTCGATGCGATTGTCATCCGTTTCTTTCGTATATGCACCCGTTGACGAAGTTGCGCAGATAGCCATTTTGTCTGAACCTCTCCTCGGGTTCACTGCAGTGCGTCTCAACACGCCTATATAATGCCCTTACGCAGCTGCGCTTGTAGCTGATTGAGTGCTTGAGTCGTGACAATCATGTGTCCGAATTTTTTGTGTCATGGTTTACCGGGCTCCAGTTTATTAACGAATACAATGACCTTCCCAAATCATATTTAGTTTTGAAAATTCATTTATCAAAACCAATAAACTACTCGGACAGCGCGCAGGTGAACACATTTTCCAAAACCATTACCGCTTAGCCAAGAGGTGGAGCAATCATCACGCCAACTTCCAGCAAGAGTGATAAATTTGAGGATCTAACGACCGAATTCCGGCTATCAAGCAATTAGCGGTCCAATGGACAATCATCCTCGATGAAGGGGAGTCGTTAATTGTCATAGGCATACAGTAGCATATTGACTGCATCCCATCAATATTTAATTCCGTGTGCGATTTACCTGTATGTGATGCTTTCTCGGAAGATGGGTTCGAGTTGCAATCCAAAACTTAAGGCGAATAAAGTTCTTGTCCTACTTCTCAGTTACCTTCTTCTCAGTTACCTTCTGGGACTCCCATTCTCACTTGTATCGACACTGAGGTCTCATACGAAATACACGACACAATCAAAATATTTCTAGCATTCGCCTGTCATGAAATATGGTTTTATGGTACATTAGTGCTTATCTTTGCATGTAAGCGCACTACATTTCCGTACATCTCAAATCAAATTGTGCTCGAAGGTGTTCATATAGTAATGGCGAAGACTTAATGAGGGCAGATCTGACAAGGTTTTCAAGAAATTATATAGTGATCACCAATTCTACGGGCAGTATTCGACTTTGTCCTGGCTTTAGCTATTGTGAGTCTTCTCTTGGTGTCCGACCAACTGCTTCTAACCTTTGTGAAAAATGTACACTGAGACATGAATGCAGAGATTAACTGCGTTAGTTTGCTCATCGCCGTCAATAACCCATGCTCTAGTTTACAAATTCATGGTCAGAGGTAAACATATTAGAATTCGCCAGGTTATCATGAAACACACTACAGTGCTCGAAATTACGCAACGAAAGCATATATTCGGCACCTCTTAGGTAAGTGGATAATGCCCCTCGGCTCTCCCTTCAAGTGGCTCCTCTATCACGGTGCGAACAAAATCAGTAGCTTGGAAGGTTGCCGGCTGACGGGATAACTCGGACTTCGTAGTCAAACCAGTTTATTTCTATGTGGAGCGACCTACTAGTGGACTGGGTGTCAAGCTGCATGGCACTCTGACGCATGTGATATCCAAGACCCTCACCCTATTCGGATAAAATCCTGGCAGCCGCACTCATTCCCTGTACCAATTAACTGACCGCCTCGGACAGTGGTTGGAGTATGGGAATGGGAATAGCTGGTAGGGCCGACGGCTCACCTCATCTTCCTCATTACAAACAACCTGACGTGCTTGTAGCTAACACGGTGTGCTATAAACTGTGGCTTGGAAGTTTGCAAACTGACGGAATAACTCGGACATCGTAGACTATCTAATGTGTTTGTGTAATGTGACCAACTGGTGGAATGAGAGTCAGGCTGGGATGGCTCCTTCCTAATGTGGCTTCTATGGCACTCCCGCTGCCTGGGATCCGAACAAGATGTGGTGACACACCCCTACGGACGGCTCAGACTGCACCAACTACCTTGCACTCTCGCGCCCTCAGTCTTCTTGACTTAGTCATGAGATCGGGCTCAGGTGTGCCTCACGGCAGGCTGAAAGCACGCGTGGTAATTTGCGCGTGTATTGGATTATAAGGAGAGTAGACTAGCAATGCATTTACACTCTCTCCTCATACCCCATCTGGGCCTGGTGTCGTGACCAAGTCACGTAGATCGGAGGCGGGAGAGGACGCAGGTGCCTTGCGTGGCCATAACCGCCCCTAAGCATGCTACCACACCTGGCCTGGATCCCACGGAGTAGGAGTGCCATAAAGCCACTTTGGATCTCGGTTCTTCAGTCGGCCATTCTACAGATATACAGATACAGATATACACTGGGCTGACCGCGAGCAAGCCTACTACCACCATAAAATCAATCACGCGAAAATCACCGTCCCTGTGCCGCCATGCTGTGGGGTACAGGGTAGGCCTCGTCGAAACGGACGATTGAATTGTCACAATACGGCGGACGGCCTAAAATGGCATTGATCTTTGTGGAGAACGGATAAATCAATGTAGCTGAATGTGTCAACCAAAAATATGCATCGCAAAAGAACATACCTAAAAATATTAACACCAAATTTTGAAAGATATAAGAGAACTAGAAGAAAATTTTCATAACCTACCTTCGCTATTAATCGTCGGTGAAGAAGTCGTTTCCAGTGGTCGACTACTGTGTTCTAATATCTAAAGAAAGAAGAGCTCAGTGGTAAAATAAATGCAATAAGGTAGATAAGAAACGCAGCCTTGGTTCCAAGCAGAATTTATACGAAATTCTAAACGTCAATACAGAATGGTAACAAAATCACTACCGGCAACCTGCATGTCCCGATATTTCTGGACAGAAGCTGCTTATTTTCAAAACAAACACGTACAGGAAAATGCTTCAGCTTACGAGGCGCATATGGTATGAGGTGGACATAAACACGTCCCACTTATTGTGACATGGCATGGTTCGGTTTCGTGAAGAAAAATTAGGTACAATGGAAAGTGCTATGTTACTTTATTACACGCCTGAGTCGAAGACCATAAAAGCAACTTACGTTTACGTCGTACCACAAAGAAATGGCAAGGAAAGTTGATTTTAACGAAGTCGGGAGGTCCTAAAAGTACCCAGAAGACAAAAGTGCAGAACAATAAATTCTGAAAGGTGTAAGCGAATTGACAAGACACGCCAATGACTGATTTTGAAATTTAAGCTCAATTTTGAGTTCCTTGCACATACCAAAGTAGACCTTCGTTTAGGAGAATTCTGCTCTAGTTCGGAGAAAGAAGGCTCATTTGATGAATTGAGTTGATTGTACATAGCGGCGATGATACCCCTGGCAGTCGATACATCGGTGTCGGACTCCAACAACGCTACAATTCCTCCTTCACTAATGATCAGCTCCCGCAGTTGTCCGTATAGCGCACTGTGGTCAGGTGTATTGACGCTAGCTAGTACCAAGGCCGTAGGTATTTGTCCGCTGGAAATGCTGGCTTCACCGGATACCTTGACAACATAACCAGCTACGCTACGGGTTAAGTTCTGTGAAACAGTCGAAAGTTTCCTCTGTAAAAGACAAATTACTAGCGACTTTAAACGGAATGCATACTTCTACGGCCTTCGTAATGTTGGACCAATCCTGAGTAAAAGCTAACTCGTTTGAGCTTGGGAGCGATGCAGAACCTAAATGGAAAAAGAGAGTACAGAGTGACGCACACCAATTTTTGTGAAAAAAGCTGGAGCAATGGAACGTACATTGTCGAGTTTTCGCGAAAACTTCCATATTCTGTAACAAAACAACAGGAATTGTAAGAGAAACGCAGGGGAGAGGAGTAGCGACATTACCAAATAGTTAATAGAGTACTGGTAAACTTGAGAAGCGGCAGAGCCTTGTAATCATAGTTGGAAGTTGTTTCTTCAAACCGTAATACGCCAACATCCGCAAGTCTGAATTTTAAAACAAGTCAACATTTGCGCATAGACTTGATCATGATTGCAATTTAACTATCGTGGTGAACGATGTCCATTATGTGCGCCACATCCGCGTGGTCGCAGGAGTGCTCGAGGTGGTTACCAGGATGGTGCCGCAAGGCAAGACTTAGTTTAGGTGAACCACAAAGGAGAACTGGATGACAGTGAACGGCCGCGAAAAGCATCCACCGCCTGCACGAGTCAAGGGATGTGACAATATTCTGCACACTGTGTCCTATAACTAGATATTACTGATACGACATTCTGTACTAACAATTTGGCTGGCAGAAGAAACCCTAAATTTAGTCGGCAGATATACAAGATTTTGTAATAAATAATATACGTGGGTAAACGTAACCATCTTAGGCTCGCTCAATGGTTTTGCAGAAACGAATGTCCTCGGCTGCCTTATTTAAGCCCGTCTGGGACGTGAAAGTCCAAAACGACAATATCGAATGTGACGTCTAGGTTATGCGACCCTGTTAGTATCAAATTATGATGAGGAAGAAATTTTGGAAGGCAGACCTCTAAGCAGTCAATTTTACTCACCAAAGCAAAAAACAAAGCATTCTTTAACATTTATCCCTAAATGAGAGACTGCCCTCGGGACTTATGACCGTAGGCTTGAAAAAAATAAGTGATCGAGTTTCCCAGTATTCGACTCAGGCCGTTGTTAGTTCCTATGGTAGATAATATGACTAAATAACGCACTGGCAAAATCATCGCCAGGATCAGGGTATTACGTAAATTATGGTCCACAACAAACTGTTTCTGCTACTGTTCTGTGAGTATGTCTCTGAAGATGAATCCGCGGCGGATTTCGAAACGTCAGGCGAATAAACATACTGTCCCAGCGATCGAGTCGTCTTCTACTTCTCAATTAATTCCTGGGACTCGCACGTTCGCTTGTATTCACAACAATTTCTCCCAACCGTTTAACAACGGTGTGGCGTTAGACAGGGCTTTATCCTATCGGCCATGCTATTCAACTACGCTACTGGCTACATTCTTGGAAAGGCCCTACAAGGTTTGGCCGATTTTGAGTTGGCAC